AGGGCTTGGTCCATCACTAGTTGAAACACAGCAGCACTGGAACATGAGCAGTTTCACGCCAAATGACGAATCGATCTGACGCCATCTTCTCTGATTTGCATAAAACTTTGCATTATTTACCCATATTCTCGTTTTCGTTCGAATCGTATGTTCTACACATTTTTGTTGTATGGAAAATACGGGTCGAACGAAAACAAGAATATGGGTGATTGTTTGTTATGGTCACTTCTCATTTGAACTACAATTCGGCTATTTTGAATACCGAAAAAAAAAATCAAAATAGCGAGTTCAATATTTTCTCGAATAAAAATTAACATTAGCCCAACGTTTGATTTTGATGTCAACATTAGCATCGAAATCAAATGTATTATTGATGTCAAACATGCTTGGCATGCACAGTTGTACACACCAACTGTTCATTTGTTAATAACTTTTCACTCAGATGTTGAAATTTATTTTTCTTTAAAGTAATTGATAGATTAGACTCATAGTTTACTATAGATATGCGAAGATTAGGTAAAGTTTAACATTTGAATCAACACTAATCAATTTAACACTTAAATTCCGAGATGTGTAGTGAGCATTTCTCACCTCATTTTTACAACGCAAGAACAAATACAGTTTACTACCACAAACGAAGTGACAGACGGAGCGGCTCGAAAACTTTGGTGACTAACCTGCTATTTCAATTTTTCAGTGTACCACATGGCAACACCACTACTACTGGATTGTACCACATGGCAACACTACTACTGGATTGTACTAGCATTTTCACCAAATGTATTAGAATGTTTTGGTTCTATCTCTTTCACTCTATTCAAAACTGAAATGCATAAAAAAAATGACAAAATGTTAAGTACTTTTTGCACACTGTCAAAGAATCATTGTACACAAAATAAACTTTGTTCAAATCAAAACAAAAAATTAACCCATCTGGTGGATGATGGCACAAGCTTCCAAGAAAATTCTATTACTGTGAACCACATTATTTAAATGGATTTCTTCGCCAGTTAGTCGTCTGTCACTTCGTTTGTGTTACTACTAGCATTAAAATATACTTTTTTTTACATATGTATAACAAGTTTACACTCTCTTCTTTTTACTGCTTCAAAAAGAACTATGTTCCGTCAACTGTGTGTAAAGTTATTAGCAAATGAGCAGTTCGTGACCAAAACTGTGTATGCCAAACATGATGTCAAACATGGGAAAACATTATGATTTAGTTATATTTATGCAAAGCAACATGGTGTATACATCAGACATTTTGGAACAAAATTATGATATTCTAATGTCACTCTGACGTCAAGTATTTCAATCTTTTGACATTAGAACCAACCGTTTCAGGGGTGTTTTCGGATGAAAAAACGTCAGATCTAAACATTGTTCAGATGTTTTCAATTGTACCTCGTGTTTGTTGTTCTCTGATGTTTTTAGACGTACAAAACGTTTAAAGTAAACGTTATTCGGATGTTTCTAAATGTAGATGATTTCTAATGTTTTAAGATATACAAAACATTAGAATCTAACTTTTCAAATGCATTCAATTATATTGTTGGTCAAGTCGGATACCAGAAAACCCCACACGCGACATTCGATTTTCCTCTCGTTCTGTACGTTAAACATAACGTCGGATATAATGCGCTGCCCTAATAAAAATTGTATGGTTAATTTGCTTAACGACGTGTTCTGGGTATCATCCAAACCATTTGTGAAATAGTTCAATGATTTGGGTTATCGTTCGTTTATGGTTATTTTTTATTAGGGTGTATAGCGCATCACTATGCCATTAGTGCGCTAAGAGTTATTAGACCACTGACACAGGCGCCAATTCGTGGGTGACGAGGCACTTGGTGACATTACCGCTAGTTTGACGATTGTTGCAGCCTTTTTTAGCGAACTACCATTTAAGGTATGTATTGTTTACAAAATATGTTTCCACCTGGAAATAGTCCAGTGTTAGAAATGCGGTTATAGTTTATTTTACATTTAATTATTCTTGTTCAAAACTTCCCTAATAAAAAATAACCATAAACGAACGATAACCCAAATCATTGAACTATTCCATAAATGGTTTGGATGATACCCAGAACACGTCGTTAAGCAAATTAACCATACAATTTTTATTAGGGTTCAGATTTATTTTTCTCAGTTCAAGTCCATTGCGACATTGGCCCATATTTCAGCTCTATCTAGAATTGTTGCGCGCAAGTTGAACATCCGCGCTTAAAACGCTCGAGCTCCTCCCCACTGGGCAGCTAAAAGCTGCTGTCACAAAATCAGCCGTTGATCGCACGAAAATCAAAAAGAAAACAAAACTGCAAACTGTCAAAACTCAACACTCGCTTGCGCGCTGCATCAGATGCCGGTACACACATTTCCCAAGCCAGTTTTTCTCGAATATTTTGCAGGATATTTAAGCGTTTAGTTTACAATTTTATCGTTAATTCAAGTTTGAATGATCAACTAACGAATCAGCTCACTGAGGAAAGAGGTAAGTACGCGATATCCTGGTGCAATTTCGTATTTGAATAGAGGTGTTTGATTCAACGTACAGGAAGATGGCAACAGCAATGGAACCGGTCCCGTCTCGCGATTTAGAAGGTCGTAAAATTTGCGTCGAGCGCTTCATCTACGCAATCCTGTACAGCGTCGGGGCGCAGTTTGTTCTGCTTGCGAGCTTCCTGCTGTTGGTCAATTTTAGCCTGCTCCACCCCTTAGCTTGGTTGGTGGACTCGTTTCGATTGCTCGTTTCCCTTTCCACCTGGCTGTGGATTATGCCGCTCGTCAGTGCGGTCATCGTTCACGGAATATACCTGGCCAAATCGCACCTCTCCGGGGTCAAGTACTGTCCGACGCGGTTTCAGCAGATCTATCAGTGAGTTTTACTGTTTTGGTTATTTTCAAATTGAACTTGAGAGTTATGGTTATGGTTGGTGTCGTTTCAGATCGATCATCACCAAGTCCATCCTGCTGCTGGTCAATTGCGTGATTGGATTCCTGACGGCTTGGTTGTACACACGCTTCCTGCGGGACGATTATCGCATTTTGTTCCTACCGAAGGATAACGAAAATTCCGTACTGAACGAGAAGTATCTATTCCTGCAGCTGGGAGGCACGTTCGCCGGAGTGTACTATTTCATCAAGAACAAATTGGAAAAGCCTTGTCTCAACTTTCCGGTCATTCAGCAGTCTCGATACCAGCAGATTCGAGCTCAACTCTACAGTATGGTGTATCGGTCTCTGTTCAAATCGTTTTTCCCAACGCTGACCTACGTGAGCTTCTACTACACCTTCAACTGTTTCTACTTCCGCTACAAGTTGGCCAACGTCTTCCACGGTGTATCGCTCGCCGAGGAATCTTCGCTGGGTGCGCTGTATTCCGTGTTGACCGACATCCGACTGGTGTTGTACTGTTGGATTCTATCCTCGCAAATCCTGACCAACATGAACCTGATGCAGGTATTGTTTCACATTTTCCTCACGGAGCACCGGGAGTTCCTGGTCGAACGGACTTCGCTGGCCAATGACTCGCAAGTCACTCTAGTAGAAGCGCTTGCTTGCGAACAGATTCCTATCATCCAACAACTGGCCGCACTGGATCTTTTCACAATCGCGGAAAGCTGCGATCCGAGACGACGGGCCCGTCTGTATGCTCTGTCCATTCCGGGAGGCCATCCATACAATTGGCGTCTGGTTTCCGGCGAATGCATTCGTCTCATCAAAGACTACACCACTCAGCTGTCGAAATCAATCGAAGGAGCAACCCTGAAACCCCGTCCGGATATTGCCAAACTACGTCCCACGGCTTCCATGGATGCAGAAAAGCTACTGATGAAGCAGTACAATGAAAGCTTTGGAATTCGCAGCCTGTCTACGTCGGCCCTGCCAACGGAAGCTCCCCAGCCGGATGTCATCTGCAAAGTGGTCGACCACCGGCTAGACTCGTTACGCGAATCACTTCGCTCCATTCCGGGAATTTACTACCTCTTTGGGGAACCGAAAACTGCCAAAACCTGCCACCTTCTGGCGACGCAATCACAGCAGATTGTTTGGATCAGCCAAGCGCTGGCATCGCTGGCGGCGCACTCAATTCGGGAGGATCAGTTCGGTGTCGTTCAGAACGATCTGCCACTGGTCATACGGACGTTGCTGCAGCTGAAACAGGTGCTCGATAAGGTCGGTTCGATCCAGCTGGACGTGAAGAAGATCGATCGGAACTACGTGGCCCTGAAGGCGGCCACCAAGAGGAGCTTGTATCGAATTTCCGCCGCTTTTGCCGACTATCTGAACGATATCGTTCTGGAGCCGAGCGACGTGAAGGCCCTGCTGGGGTTCGTGAACTATCGGGAAGCCTAGGCGAATGGCCGGGTATTTTTGTGCGTTTTGGAACTTCTTTTTCTGTTAGTAAATAAGTCATCCAGGTAAACTGCCACGTGGACTCATGAAGTAATTGTAAGCAATTATAATTTAGTACGAAAATGTTGGATACGTGTGTGGTTTATCCGAAAAATCCTGCTCAATTATTGGGTTTTGCATTGGCGAGAAAGAGACTTTCGTCCTTACAGCCATATATGTTGTTGCCACTGGACAGTCCCTCGAATTGACATGAGAGTTTGTGTGTGGAAGAGTTAACTGTCAACTCAACGGTGGTAGGGTTGTCAATTAGAAGTAAGCCATCAGAAAACGATTTGTCATCATTGTTGTAGTGAACGAAATTGATAAAGTGAATTAAATTATATTTTCTCATACCTAATTAAATCCTAATTATTAAATTAATTGCAGTTTGAAACCTAACAGTACATTGAATTTGTTGCTGAGAAATATTTTGTGAAATACTTAATAGGAGACTAATTGTAAGTAAATTAAACTAAATTAACCTAAAATGTTTCTAAATAATAAACATTTACAGCTTTGAGCTGATCTCATCGCAAAGACGAGTAGCTTCAACGAAATCCGAATAATTAATTCTCGCAACATTCTCAAAGAATTATCGCCACAAGATGCAGCGATCATTTGTCCGTCAGACCCGATCTAGAACCAAGGTCACCCAAGATGCAGCGGGAAACCGTAATCAATCTGGAGACGGCGCTTGTGTGATGATTGACGATCCGGACACGACAGCGGATGATAGTTTTGTGCCTTCGGTGATCGATCTTGAGCACGGAAATGAGTGTGAGTGTGCGAAATGTGATCGACCCAATAATGACGAGCTTTATATGGTCCAATGCGGAGGCTGTAAGCGTTGGTACCATTTCTCGTGCGCGAATGTTGACACGATTACGGTACGCTCAAAAGACTTTGTGTGTGCGCAGTGTTCCCCTAAGGTACCTCCACCACCTGCTAGTTCTACTGCTGGACGGTCCAGCGTCTCTAGTGCACGGAGAGCTCAGATAGCCCGTGATCTAGATCGATTGGAGGAAGAAAGGCAAGTACAGGAGAAAGTGGAGGAGGAACGACTACGGATGGAAAAACTGTTGATCGATAAGGCGATGAAGGACAAACTAGAACGCGAAAAGGAGTACATTGCTCGTAAGCATGAGCTGCTCCGTCAGCAGGACGATGAAGTATCCAGCACACGTAGTCGGCATAGTAGCAGGAGTAGCATCCAAAAGGTGGAAGCATGGGTTGAGAAGCATGTGAAGCCTACTGATATCAATCGAGTCAACGTGGCAGGAAACGTGACTGATGCAAAGAACATCGATCAAGTGACACCAACACCCGTCGGTACGTCAACTCCGTTAATGAATAGCGGAATATCTGATATTGAAGGGGAAGTAATTTCTATTCCGCGTACCACCGATAGTGTAACCATCGGCGAAAGTCCGGAGAACGAGTCAGATTCGGCAAACGATCAACATCGGAATCCAAAAAACCATTTGATTTCTCCAAAGCTGCAGTTAGTGAACATTCAACCATATGCTCGCCTACTGGAAGAGTCTAGGGCTGCACAGTGGAAGATTGGAATTAATCCGATGCAATCCAGAACCGGCACGATTCCGAAGTTCGTTCCGAAGCTTATGGGAAACTCCTCTCCATACGATGTTTGGCACCGTGAAACCAGTGAGCTGAGAAAGCAGCAATGTCTTGAGCTGCAACTTCAGCACGATGTTGAACTGGAGCGTCATGAGCAACGTGAGCGTGAGCTGGTAGATCGCCTCAAACGCGCGGAGGAGCAGCGCGATCTGGAACGACAACGGTTGCTTCAAATCGAAGATGGCTTGCAAAGGCAGCGTGATATAGCAACGAAACATCAGGAGGAGAACGATTTGAGGCGCAAACGAGAGATGGACCTGGTAAACAAGTTGAAGCAGTTGGAACAACAGCGTACGGAAGAACGGAACCAATTACTCAAGGCTGAAAACGCTTTGCATATGCAGCTTGAAATGAGTAATCAGCAGTACCAGACCCTGGCGGCGACAAGGCAGCAGGAGCAAGCGGAAAGAGACGAAGACCGACGAAGATTTCGTTCGTTAGAGCAGCAACTTGCAGACCATCAAGAACTACTTCGACTACGAGAGAAGAGCCGTCCATTTCGAGCAACGGAGCCACAACAAGTGGCACCAGTGGCATCCACTCAGCCAATGCTGCACGTGAGTACAAATCGTACTCCCCAATTGGAGCGTAGGGAAATAAATAACTTCTCCCATACTTCGACACCCGATCCCAGTATCGTTAGTTCGTTAGACAGATTAGGAACGCCTCATACGTTTACTGTACCCCCTGAATTAGGGCCTTCTTATGTAGGACCACAGGGTCAACCACAGCTCAATCCGTTAGGGCCTTCTTACGTAGGACCACAGGGTCAGTCACAGTTCAATCCGTACCGCCCTCCGGAGTTTCACCCTTTCCATCATAATCAGTTCCCACCAGTGCAATACGGTCCAACACAACATCAGCTAGCTGCCAGGCATGTTATTCCAAAAGAGCTTCCGGTTTTCTCTGGGGATCCAATTGACTGGCCACTCTTCATAAGTAGCTACAAGCACTCCAACGAAGTTTGTGGCTACTCAGACTCGGAAAATCTACTACGCTTGCAACGTTCCCTCAAAGGTGCGGCGAAGGAGTCAGTTAGTAGTTTCCTTCTTCATCCTTCGACCGTGCCACAAATTCTTTCCACGCTACATACCTTGTATGGGAGGCCTGAACATATCGTACATAACATGGTTGCCAAAGTGCGAGCGACTCCAGCGCCAAAGGCGGAAAGACTGGAAACACTAGTCCAGTTTGGGTTAGTTGTCCAAAATTTATGCGGACATCTAAAGGCTGTCGGCATGGATAACCACCTTTCCAACCCTACCCTTCTTCAGGAGCTCGTTGATAAGCTGCCAGCTACAATAAAATTTAGCTGGGCACTCTATCAAGAGAATTTACCCGTTGTCGATTTGAACGCTTTTGGTGAGTACATGGGAAAAGTTACATCTGCTACTAGTGGTGTTACAAACCAATGTATGACAGCAAGAAATCCAAAGGAGGAGAAATCGAGACCGAAGGATAAGGTATATGTGAATACACACGCTACCTATGACCGTAGAAATTCGGGGTCGTCCAGTAATCAACCCAAGAGTGAACGGCGGGAGCTACCAACGAACAGCAAAGGCAAAGAAAACGAAGGAGGTAAATGCTGCCCGACTTGTAAATCAAAGGACCACATTGTAGCGAACTGTACATCTTTCAAAAAGCTTTCGTTGGACGAACGTTGGAAGGTGGTGAAAGAGAACAAGCTGTGCCGCAGATGCCTCGTTTCGCACACTCGCTGGCCTTGTGAAGGTGAAGTCTGCGGCGTCAACGGTTGCGAAAAGCGCCATCATCAACTTCTACATTATGAGCCTACCTCAGGACAATCCGCGATTACCACCAACGCTACTGTCACCATCCATCGTCAGCCTGTTTCGTCGACGTTATTCAAGATACTTCCGGTGACGTTATACGGGAAGAATGGTTCCGTTGATACCTATGCATTTCTGGACGATGGATCATCGGTCACCCTAGTAGAAAAGGCAATAGCAGATGAACTTGGAGCCGATGGTAAAATGCAATCCTTGTGTATCCAGTGGACTAGCGGAATCAACAAAAAGATTGCCACTACCCAACTGGTAAAGCTGGGAATATCAGAACCCGGTGGTAAAAATAAATTTGATGTGTCGGAAGTCTACACCGTCGAGAACTTGGGACTACCAGAGCAATCGTTGGATTTTGCTAGCATGCTAAAGCAGTACAAGCATTTTCGAAACTTGCCAGTCAAGAGTTTCCAGAGGGGCGTTCCTGGTTTGCTGATTGGTTTAAACAACGCTCACCTCCTGACCGCGTCCAAAGTTCGAGAAGGAGAGGAACAAGAACCAATCGCTTCAAAAACTCGTATCGGATGGGTAGTCTGCGGTAGTCTGCGAGGAGGAGCTCATCAATTCCAACACCGGCAGATGCACATGTGCGTGGAACCAGCGGAGCTCGATCTACACGAATACGTACGTGAATTTTTCTCTGTGGAAAGTCTAGGGGTTTCAGTGGCCCCGATTTTGGAAGGAAGTGAAGATCAACGAGCTCGTCGAATCCTCGAAGAGACGACAGTAAGAACAACTAGCGGGAAGTACGAGACTGGACTCTTGTGGAAACAAGACTCCATAAAATTTCCGAATAGCAGGCCGATGGCTGAACGTCGTTTGAAATGTCTCGAGAAGCGTCTTGAGAAGGATCCGCAACTCTACGACAGCGTACGGCGCCAAATAGCGGACTACCAGGCAAAAGGTTACATCCATGCGGTAACGGAAGAAGAAATTACAAAATTCGACCCACACCGCACTTGGTACCTTCCCCTTGGAGTGGTTCTGAACCCTAATAAACCGGGAAAGGTGAGGGTAATATGGGACGCAGCGGCTAAGGTAGACGGAATCTCTTTAAACACGATGTTGTTGAAAGGTCCTGATTTGCTGACTCCGCAGCTGTATGTTATGTTTAAGTTCCGTGAACGGGAAGTGGCATTCTCTGGCGATATCCAAGAAATGTTCCTGCAGGTCGGAATCAGAAGAAAGGACCGAAGTGCACTATTGTTCGTGTTCCGCAACTCGCCATCTCAACCTATGACTACTATGGTATCTGACGTGGCGATCTTCGGAGCGACTTGTTCTCCAGCTCAATCGCAGTATGTCAAAAATCTGAATGCAGCGGAAAACGAGCAAGACCATCCAAGAGCGGCGGCAGCAATCAAGAATAGACACTACGTCGACGATTACTTGGATAGCGTCAACACGGAGGAAGAAGCGATTGAGTTGGCTCTGGAAGTGGCGGAGGTCCATCGGAAGGCAGGTTTCCACATTCGTAACTGGGTGTCAAATAGACCCAAAGTACTAGAGGCTATAGGAGAAGTTAACCCAGCTACTGTCAAGAACCTCACGATGAACAACCAGAGTGGATTTGAGCGACTACTTGGGATATCTTGGCTGCCGAGGGAAGATGTGTTCTGCTTTTCGCTTAGCCTGCAAGGAGATCTTGAAGAATTAGTGGAAGGCGTGATTGCACCAACCAAACGAATGATGCTGAGCTTTGTCATGAAAATCTACGATCCGTTGGGGCTGGTAGGTTCGCTGATTATTCAAGGGAAGATCCTCATACAAGAAGTCTGGAGAGCTAACGTGGATTGGGATGAGCAAATACCGGAGAACATTTTCAAGGCATGGAAACTCTGGCTTCAGGCCCTGCAAGAATTGAACAATGTGAGAATTCCTCGTTGCTATTTCTCGGGGTACGATGTTAACTGTTATGATTCTCTGGAATTGCACATATTCGTCGATGGCAGTGCACAAGCATACTCGGCCGTGGCTTACTTCCGTGTTCAGGATCGTGGACAGATACGATGTGCTCTAGTTGCTTCAAAAACGAAAGTTGCTCCACTACAGTTACTATCAATCCCGCGCTTGGAATTGCAGGCGGCGGTTCTCGGGGCGCGTCTTCGAAAAACGATTGAAGAAGGTCATTCAATCCAAGTCAAGCGCACACATTTTTGGAGTGACTCTAGTACGATTATCTCGTGGATCAGATCGGACACTCGTCGGTATCGGCCATATGTTGCCTTCCGAGTCAACGAAATTTTGAACCATTCAAGGATTGAGGAATGGCGATGGCTGGGAACGAAAATCAATGTTGCAGATGAAGCTACAAAATGGGGAAAAGGCCCGAACTGTACGCCAGATAGTAGGTGGATGCGAGGTCCTGCGTTTCTCTACGAAAAGAAGAGTGAGTGGCCGAGCAGCGGATTCGAGGTACCGGAAGAAACAACGGAAGAATTACGATCGGCATACATATGCAGTCACTTTCTAACAGTTCCGATCATTGAGGTGGAAAGATTTTCCAAATACGAGCGTCTGTTGCGAAGCGTAGCATACGTTTACCGCTTCCAAGAGAAAAGTTTGAGACGAGCTGGAAATACACAGTGCGAAGGTGCAGAAGAGTTAAGCAGTGAAGAATTGCAGAAAGCAGAACGGAGTCTGTGGCGACTTGCACAATCGGAGTGCTATCTGGACGAGGTAGCTACTCTAAAACATAACAGTCAATTGAAGCGAGAACAGCAGAAGGCGTTGGATAGAAGCAGTTCTATAGCGAAGCTACCTCCTCTACTCGACGAGCACGGTGTTCTACGCGTGGATAGCCGTATCGCAGCAGCAGACTACGTCCCGTACGATACCAGATACCCTATCATTCTACCGCGGGGTCATCGGATTACCAACCTATTACTGGATTGGTATCACCGTAAATTTCGTCATGCTAACAATGAAACGATTGTCAATGAAGTGCGTCAGAGACATTATATTGCAAAACTCAGAACTCAAGTACGCTCTGCAGCAATTCGGTGCCAGTGGTGCCGCGTGTATAAAGCGAAACCCGTAGCACCAAAGATGGGTCAATTGCCTCGGATCCGAATAACGCCGTTTCTACGACCGTTCACGTTTGTAGGAATCGATTATTTCGGCCCCTACTTCGTTAAGGTCGGACGAAGTTCCGTCAAGCGCTGGGTAGCGGTCTTTACGTGCCTTACCGTGCGTGCATTACATCTGGAGATAGTCTTCAGTTTGACAGCTGATTCATGCAAGAAAGCCATTCGACGGTTTATTGCTAGAAGAGGAGCACCACAAGAAGTGTATACGGACAACGGCACCAATTTCGTTGGTGCTAGCAGGGAGCTGGAAATTGAGTTGCGAGAAATCAACATCGCGACGAGCAGCACTTTTACGGACACGAACACCAAATGGCGTTTCAACCCTCCCTCTACCCCTCACATGGGTGGTTGTTGGGAACGGATGGTACGATCTGTAAAGACTGCGCTGGGATCATTGCCAACGTTACGCAAGCTAGACGATGAATCCTTCATGACGCTGTTAGACGAAGCAGAACACATGATCAATTCACGACCGTTAACGTTCGTGCCGCTGAGCAATGAAGAACAGGAGTCGTTGACTCCGAATCACTTTTTGATGCTAAGTTCGAGCGGAGTTCGACAGCCGGTCAAAGCTCCCGTGGATGAAAGAAAAGCTCTATTGGACAGTTGGAAGTTACTGCAACATATGCTGGATGCGTTTTGGCGGCGTTGGATTATTGAGTACTTACCAATCATCTCCCGCAGAACCAAGTGGTTTCAAGACGTGGCACCAGTCAGGGAAGGAGCGATAGTAGTAATAGCAGACGAAGGAGTTCGTAACCAGTGGACAAGAGGCCGTGTGATCCGTACATATCCGGGCAAAGATGGAGTAGCACGTCGAGCCGACGTAGAGACATCTAGCGGCGTATTGAGGAGACCGGTTTGCAAACTTGCTGTTTTGGATGTAGTTCCTGATGGTGACGCCGAAACGGATTCCGGGCGTCACGAGGGGGAGAATGTTGCCACTGGACAGTCCCTCGAATTGACATGAGAGTTTGTGTGTGGAAGAGTTAACTGTCAACTCAACGGTGGTAGGGTTGTCAATTAGAAGTAAGCCATCAGAAAACGATTTGTCATCATTGTTGTAGTGAACGAAATTGATAAAGTGAATTAAATTATATTTTCTCATACCTAATTAAATCCTAATTATTAAATTAATTGCAGTTTGAAACCTAACAGTACATTGAATTTGTTGCTGAGAAATATTTTGTGAAATACTTAATAGGAGACTAATTGTAAGTAAATTAAACTAAATTAACCTAAAATGTTTCTAAATAATAAACATTTACAGCTTTGAGCTGATCTCATCGCAAAGACGAGTAGCTTCAACGAAATCCGAATAATTAATTCTCGCAACATATGTATTACCAAAGAGGTAACTCTAAGACCAGAAGGTCTCAGGTCAGTTGTGGGATAGTTTACCCTTCCGGGATACAGTTCGTTTGTGGTATTTTTTTATTAGGGTACACTCATAAAATAAATCACATAACCAGTGGAAAATATCCATGTGAATTTCACATAACTTTCATGTGATAACATGAGCAGATCTCTTCGGAATACAACGCTACTGCAACCAAATTTTCACCGAACCATGTTTGGGAACAACGAACCAATCTCAGCGTGTATTCGTGCGTTTACGGCTGTCGAAGAGTTTTTCGAGTTCAATGAACCAACCGAACGTTTTGCAAATCGGATTAGGTCTGTGTTAAATTAGCTCTAATATATTCATTAAGACTAAATTGTCAGATGAATTATTTTAAATACAAATAATTGGAAATTGCACCACTAAACCACATGAACGTTATGTGTCCAATGAAATCTATATGATTACTTACATAGAATTTCTGATGTTATGTGATATTCAGATAAAAATAGTTTTTGGAAAAATATTATATGCTTTCCTAATAGAAACTAAGTGAAAACTTTTATCAGTGTACCTAGAGTGAAGAAATGCTTCCAAATGAGTGGGAAAATGCTTCCAATGGGTAAACTTAAAGCCCTCCCGCATAAACAATAACCATAAGAAGCGCCTAACCACCAATTCGGGATATCATCCCAACTTTATGTGGGATAGTCGTACCATCTATGATATCGTTATTTATTTGTTATTTATTTGTTATTTATTTAATTACATCAACAGGCTGGATGAAGCCCCAATGATTTAAACCTTATCAACTATGGTAAAAAAAAAATACATTCAAGCATGGTCATAACATAAAAAACATTAAAAAACGTATATCTTATAGTCAATATCTTAACTCCTGCCGGCGAAAAACAGAAGAAAACTTTCGACGAAGCGCATCACGGGAGAGATGAAAGTCGAAAACGGATGCAACTCTGTTGAATGTTCTCTGCAGTCCGCAAATCGCACCGTACGCTCCATAATTTGTGCGACGTAGAGGCAGTCTTAGCATAAGGTTATTACGAAGCGGTCGGGGTTGAACATTCAGGTCAATTTGCCTCAGGATAGCCTCACAATCTGTCCTTCCTTGTAGAATATCGGCCACGGTAAGGGCTCTGTTTGTGTCTCTTCTAGTCCGGAGAAGTTCTAGGTCGATAAGTTGACAACGGCTTTCGTAGCTTGGTAATCGAAACGGATCGTTCCAAGGCAATCTACGCAACGCAAAACGAAGAAAGCGACGTTGAACAGATTCAATTCTCTCGGCACCGTTGTTGTAGTTTGGGTTCCAAACCGCTGAACAATACTCAAGCGTCGATCGAACAAGCGAACAATAGAGAGATTTTAGACAGTAGATATCAGTGAAGTTTTTAGCTATCCTAAAAATGAACCCTAAAGTTCTTGACGCCTTATCAACAACATATGCAATGTGTTGCTTGAAAGAAAGCTGCGAATCCAAGATCACACCCAAGTCTTTCACCTGATTCACGCGTTCGATTGTCGAGCCAAGCAGGTCATAGCTAAATATTATCGGTTGTTGTTTTCGTGAGAACGTAATAGCGGAGCATTTGGCTGGGTTCACTACCATTCTGTTTAACCTGCACCAACTAGCGAATACATTCAGTTGACGTTGAAGAAAGTGACAGTCAGCAATGGAGCAGATTCGTAGGAAGATTTTGAGGTCATCTGCATATGATAACCGAGGAGCTTCGATGACCAGATGCACGTCGTTGAAGTACAGTATAAAAATTAACGGTCCCATGTTAATTTCCAGTAGTAGTCCAGATTCTGCATCTATTCCATCTGGAGATCCTCCAATCCAGCTCTCTACAGGATGGATTACAAGGCCGCATCGTTTGATTAGAGGATTACGTTTTCTTCGATAGCATTCAAAAGCTAAAGACTCGGTTTCCTTGCCATATTTAGTAGATTTTACATTGAGGCTGCGGATGTTCCAGTATGACTCTATTTTTTTTTCTCCCAATTGGCAGACTTATTACTGATATACGTGAAGAGAGAGTAACAGGAACTGGCTGTTATTCTTGATGCCCGATGGATCTTCCAGGCATTTGTATTCTGGCTTTTCGTTTCGACAGCAATCGTTATGGATTTCTCAATGTCAACTTGTATGTACTTTTCGTAATATATTTTTTCCTCGTCCGAGCAGTACGATGCTGGATGAACCTCAATACCGCCGATTTTTCGTAGTAAGCATAACTCAATGTCTTTCGGAACACAAAATTCATCATCTGTATGATCTAACGCCTGTTGAGCACGATTTGGATAAGATAAGGGATCGTTCAGGAACCTGCCCTGAATATGTTTGTATAGTGCAGATTGCTTTGAAACTGAAACATGTAAAAACTGTGTTACTGGATAATTTATTAAATATAAATGTGATACTGCAGGATAACATACCGGCCAATATTCTGCTGAACGATTCGACCAATATTGCTTCTTCATCATGTTCGTCCACTTCCGGTGACGTTCTAGGGCGTTTGAAGCAACACATTTCGGAAACTTTTTTTGCACCCCATGGAGCAGACTTGTGAGCTTTCGGAGTTCCCCACACCTGAGTCACTTCCGTACAGGACATATACACCAGCTTTCTGTACCTTATGAATTAATATAAATCAAAACAAACATTATAAATAAATGTAATAGGTATGTACTGGGAAATAATGTTAAAATCCAATTACTTTTCTGCATGCAGCAAGCAAGCTACAAAGTGCTTGCATTTAGAAGTTCCCGCCTTGCAGGAACACTTGAGCGCCCATTGCGAAACATCAGAATAAATTCTCATATTTACAGTATGAGGAGTTTGGCCAGGGTGTGATGACTGGGTAACATACGCGAGAATGTCAATCCATTCAGTATCACATTTCCTCCAACCGATACTAACAATATGGTTTGCTGCAAAAACCGCATATCCTTCTTTGATCGGGCGGACGGATTCACCGACGTAGTCCAGTACATCGACAATTCAGTGCCAACATTTCAAAGGGGCGTAATTGCATTTGTAAACAATGGCTTTAGCCGTCGATTTCTCGCGAATAAAAGCTCATTCATGAAAAATAATGATACCAGCAGGTAGAGGAATGTTTCCTCTAGCAGCTAGCATTGTCATTTTGGTGAGGTAAGATTTCATTCGCGAGAAATTGACGGCTAAAGTCATTGTTTACAAAAGCAATTACGCCCCTTTGAAATGTTGGTACTGAATTGTAATTTGTACCTCACGTTCAGAATCTGCAAAAAAAACATAACCTGTAATGTTATTCCTGATTTGGATTTTATATTTTTTTAATATTCACTAATCTAATTTCAATGAATATATGTGCATAATAAAGTAAACGTAATTTCTCATCATCTGTTTTGCGTTCCATTTGAGAATATCCTTATTTTCACGACCAAAAAACACTTTAAAATTCACCTCCCACTTCGCGCCTTGGGACGAAAACAAAACCATCATCGCATTAGTAATAACAGAACTGACAGCTAGGTGTCGCAGGGCTAGTATTAGTTTAACTTTGATTTCTCAATTACTCGTTCATTAAAAAACGAGTCGGAAAAATTCTTTTATTTACATATGACCTTTGGTCAAATGATGACAAACATGAAAACGAATGTCTAGATTGCTTTCATACTGTCACTTACGTAGTATGCTATCGATCGATATCATAGAAACTGAGAACGTTGAAGTGAGGATTCATTGATGACGTTACACTGACGATTATTTTAACTTCAGTTTATGCGATTTCCTCAGTTTCTGTGCAAAATCAGCGTGGGTGAAGGAAGGCGGATTAACTCGCGGAAACAAATTTAAAGACATAATCCAACTGGTCTCATTGGAATACATTGGAAGCCAATTATATTCTACACGGTAACCGCAAAATACCCAATTATGACTACAAAGTAAGTATTTTCGAGGGAAACTGGGACTACCCATTAAATGAGTAAAATTTTACCCATTTATGAGTAATTACAACTACAAAAACAAGTAGTAAGTATTCATTTTTGAGTAACAAATACTCATAAATGGGTAATACTTTTACTCATTTAATGGGTAGTCCCAGTCTCCCTCGAAAATGCTTACTTTGTAGTCATTATTGGGTATTTTGCGGTTACCGTAATTTCAGGTGATGTACACGCTAAGATCAGTTTACCTAGACGGTACAAAGAGATTACCGAGATTGGCCGTAAATTGCACAAACTCACATATGGGTAAATTTTTTTAACCCAAATATGGGTTCTTGTGAACCATAAATGATTTATTTTTATGCAAATTTGATTTAAATTTACCCATATTTGGGTTAAAAAATTTACCTATATCTGAGTTCGTGCAGTTTACGCCTGATTTGGGTAAAGTAAACCTATATTTGGGTTATCTGATCTTAGCGTGTACACGCTTAGTTCGGTTCACCCAAATATGGGTGAAGAATACCCATAATCTCGAAAAAGTGCACATACCAATTTTATGAGTAAAGTCGACTTATACCCCGTTCACATTACAGCGTATATCACGTAATATACGCTGTCTTGCAATGAGCACTCATACATCTAGTTTTCACTGGAAATCCTATGTATAAGTGCTCATTGCAAGACAGCCTATATTACGTGATATAGGCTGTAATGTGAACGGGGTATTACTCATATTTGGGTACATGCAATTTACGGATAATGTAGGTAATGTTTACCTATATATGGGAAATTGATTTTGGGTGAATTTTATTTTTTCCAATTTATATGCTTTTGAACATTTATCGAATTAATAAAAATAAAAAATAAATTGCATCAGCTTTTATTTAAATCAAATGCAATCTCGTCACCAATCAGGTACTTAAATAGATCCAGCTTTAGCAGGAATAGAATTTGCGTCACAACGCTAGTCATCGTGAGGATATTGCTTTTCGGTTGGATACTTTTGGCAAGGGTAGTGGCATCATAAGCAAGGTTCCTCAGCTCGATGTCCTCATCCTCATCTTATTCCTCCTGTTCGTCCATATCTTCGTCAGATGGAGACAGTTCCTCCGGAGTGAAAACAAAGGGAAAGTATCTTCCAAAATACTTACCAATAAAGTGATTTTGATCCAGATTACTGTTTTGCAGATGAGAAGATGGCAGCAGCGGGATGGGAAGCGACGCGGTTAGACATTTCTCCATAGGGTTGATGTTTATATTGTGTCACGCTCTAAGGGGGGAGGGAGGTCTAAGATTTTGTGACAAGCAATGCATTAGGTATAGGAAAAACGTCCCGATGGGGGTGAACGTCTGATTTTTCCTTGATTTAGCGTGACATAATTCAAGAGCAAATTTTCATTACGTCGAATGTAACAAAGGTAAACAAAGTCGAGATATCAGTGTCAATCGATGCTCCTGCTATTACACTATATACTGTCCGAATATAGGATCACATCCCATTTTTAAATTTATTTACCAGTCGAATTGCTTTTTGACGTAATCACCTTCCGATCAAAATAGTTTTCGATGTTACTTAAGTCACCCGATTTCTATGGAGATGCCGTTTGCCTTAAGTAACAGCACCGAGAAACCCGTGAAAAGTGTACTTTCGTCGTTTCGCTTTCTCATTATTAAAGTGAATCAATCGAACTGTTTGTTGCTAAGATGATTTCGGTGGTCCTAAAATGATGAATGGGCTGCACGTAAGGAGACGTAATTGATAATTCTCTCGAATATCCTGGTAAATACACTTTGACTTAAGTAACAATAGGGGCCACCAAACGACGTATAATAACTTTTGACTCAAAAACCAGTATTTCTTAGCATGAAAACTAGCGATTTGCCTTTGTATGATTAAAACCCGGCTAAATATGTTAAACATTGTTATCACTATGAGATTATATGTGTTTAATTGGAAATAGGAATAACTTTTCGGTCATCAAAACAAAACTTTATTTTTCTCGGATCGGTGCGAATGTTACTTACGACGTAATGAAAATTTGCTCTTGAATTAAAGCATGGGCCCATAAAAATGAGTATAAATGACTCACTCTATGAGCTAGTTTCGTTTTCAGTGTTGATTCCGAGCGAGTTTCTCTACCTTCAAATAACTAGAGTCGGTGTATAATGAGTCACGCCAAGAGAAAAACAGTTGAACGCGCATCACGGTTTTCGAAAGATTCCCTTTCTTTTAACTTGGCAACAGAGGACTTCTGCATCAACTTCAAATGACTTCTAGCGAGGAAAAAAAAAATAACGGCTGTAGTAAATCATTATATCAGTGATTTTGTCGAATTATCTTAAAGAAAAATAGTAGAAATTGTCATTACTGATCATTACAAAACATATCGCATGACAAATGTAATGCTCACTGCGTGTATATGATCATTTCTTCGATTATATTTTATATTTAATTGCAATACCTTTCGTGGACCTTTCACAGCATCGTAATGCTTGTTTACTTTGCACGATAGGTAGCCGGTTTGACAGTTCAATAGGTAGACTTGGCTTCACTCTTGGCGTGACTCATTATACACCGACTCTACAAATAACCACCCGCACTGCTTTTGCCCACACACAGAAACTGAACAACAGGGTTACCAAAACTACAGATAAATCTGTAAGATTCCGGGCAATGAGAAGGCGGACTCACTTGCTAAGGTGGGCGCTATGCAAGGCGATATTTACGATCGACAAATCGCCTACAATGAATTTTTCTTCATTTATCGTCAACAGTCGCTCGCCAGCTGGCAAAATAAATTGAGTGAAGGGAGTTTGGGACGATGGCTACTCTCGATCATCCCTAAGGTGTCGAAAAGTCCTTGGTTTAAGGGGTTGGATGTGGGTCGAGACTTCATTCGTCTGATGCAGTAGTGGCACGAGTCCTGGAGTTTAACATTTTTTCCTTAACATTTGATACATTTTGCGATAACCATTGTGACGACACACAAAAACAAACTGGCAAGCGGCAAAAATGTCATGACATTTCTAAACTGTTTTCTGCCAGCGACAGAACATTTTCGCACAAAGAAGCAGACAAGACCGGCGGCACGCGCGAAATAAATTTATGTCGTGTAGAATTTTGCTGATTCCTGGCTAATTACTGCATTTATTTGATGTTTATTACATGGAATTAAAAGATAAGAATGAAGACTGACCACTCATAAGCATTGATGTTAAAATTATGCGTAAATAAGGGAGTTGGTAATTTACTGTCACACGCAAGCCTGCAGCTAAAATTTCATTACAATAAACTGTTTGAAAAAATCAGGCTGCGAGATTTTATTTATTATCTATCTCCGCTGTTCGCTTGGAATGTAGTTATACACGGTCGCCCGTGTGCTCTGATGTCTCGCCTAATGTCCAATCACTATTCGTTAAACGCTCACTTGTTTCGTGTTGGGCTGGGAGACAGCAATCTATGTGAATGTGGACAAGGTTACCAAGATGCCGATCACATCCTTTGGTCTTGTGCTGAGCATCGTGGAGTCAGATCTGAGCTGTGCGATTCCCTTCGGGCTCGAGGTAGACAACCTAATGTTCCAGTTCGGGATATTTTGGCTAGACGTGATCTGGAGTTTATGAAACTCATATATGTTTACTTTAAGAATACTAACCTTAGATTGTAAGTTTGATTAACCTTGTGTTTAGTTTGTGTATTGTGCGTTTTAATGTTTGTTTTCAAGATGAATAGAAATAAGTTCATGTTTCAGGATTAATTAAATATTTGTATAATAAATCATATTTCAAACCTCCTTCTCCCTTTCCCCATCCAAAAAATTGTAAATCTCCACTAACCTCGAGACGACCGCGAGTAATCGGTTCAATTCCTTTAACTCTAGATTTAAGACATTAATCATGTATAATGCAAATGATAACTCGGCTCTGTAAAGTTTATTAGATTGAGCCTGTACAAATAAATTAATATAAAAAAAAAAGATAAATCTGTATTTCTACAGATTTTTCAGAGCTTTTAAAATCAAGATTCTGTATTCACAGATTACAGATTTCTAGGATTTTAACAGATTACACAGATTTTTAAAATTTTATCGAACATTTAATAAATTAAACTTGAGGTGTTTAGTAACAAAACATTATTTTCACTTCAGTGTAATTTTATCATCACAATCTTTTATATCTATGCATGCTTTTTTGCGGAATTAAAAAGGAGAATGAGAACTGCCAAAGGTATACTTATTTGCCGATTTATTTTTTTTATATTAATTTATTTGTACAGGCTCAATCTAATAAACTTTACAGAGCCGAGTTATCATTTGCATTATACATGATTAATGTCTTAAATCTAGAGTTAAAGGAATTGAACCGATTACTCGCGGTCGTCTCGAGGTTAGTGGAGATTTACAATTTTTTGGATGGGGAAAGGGAGAAGGAGGTTTGAAATATGATTTATTATACAAATATTTAATTAATCCTGAA